CTCCATAAAAGTGAAATGTTTATCTTAGAAAATTTGGAAAAGAAGAAAATAAAAAACATCTGTTAACCAATCAACACAAAGATAATCAGAACTAACATTTTCATTAAAATGTAATTTTCCTGGTAGGGATCACCCTTGTTTTAAACTATTTTGATGTGTACTGAGTGCCAGGTGCCAGGTGCCAGGGATTCAGTGAAGGGACAGGGCTGCCAATGTGGGCAAAATGCCCACCAGGTGCCAGGCCTCATGCTGGGCTTTTTGCAAATCACCCACATCAACAGGAAGCTCAGGCTCTGGGGAAAAGTCCCCTTCCAGGGCAGGGGCCAGGTGCTTGGAGCTCTGCTGCTGCAGCCATGCTAACCAGAGTCCTGGCCAGCTTTTCTGCTTACTTTGGGCAGGTCTCTGCCCCTCTGGGAGCCTCACTGTCTCCATCTGCTAGATGGCAACTGTCTGTCATGGCACCTCCTATTGGGGATGCTGCGGGCACTGAGTGAGATCTTGGGCACTGGAAGGACACAGTGAGGGGTCCCCGTTAGTCACAGCTACTGGTAGAGACCTGGCTCACTACCTACTAGCCATCTGGGCCAGAAGGTGACCAAGGGACCGCAGAACCCATGCTGATGAGGCCAGCTAAATCACCTGCCCAGTGCCGTCCAACCAAGTCAGGCTTAGGACCCTAGTTTGGTGACTCTCAGGCCCAGCCAGTTTCTATACACCTGGGGGTGAGGAGGAAGCTGTCCTGAGAGGAATGCAAAAGAAGGAGGTGTAGAGGGGGCATAAGGACCCTTGAGACTCTCCCAAGACTGAGAGTGCCCTCTTCTACTGAGTCAGAACGTGGCCTATATCAAACAGTCCTGAGTCGGAGTATATTCATTGTATAACCTTGAGCAAAACACTGCCCCCCGCCCCCATTGCCTCATTTTCTTATCTATAAATCGGGCCCAGCCATACAGCCTGCAGAGTGGTCTGAATAAATGAAAAAGCTTAGTCAGGGCCAGGTAGGTGCACAGCAAGACCTTCATAAATGGGAGTGGCTGTCAGAATTGCTGTCTTCCCTATTCCCCCTTCTCCTCCTCATCAGCCAGTCCTTCCTCGGTCAAACTTCAACCCTGCTGAGGTGGGGCTTTGTCTGGGGAGGGGCCTAGTTCTCCATGGGGAGGCTGGGCCAGCCAGCTGCACCTGTAGGCAGTTTGGAGGCTAATAATAAGGAGAGGAACCTGTCTGGACACATAGGGGAGGCAGACTGGTGACAACCGACCTCAATCTCTGGGAGCTCCGATCTCTCCTTCCTCCTAGGACGCAGAAGGTAGGGAGCTGTGCCCAGGAGCGAGCCACCTCTAGGTCAGGCCAGGCTGCTGTATCCAGACAGACCCTAACTACCCTCTTGCTATCTCTAGGTCACCATGGCCAAGCAGCTGCAGGCCCGAAGGTTGAACGGGATAGAAAAGAACCCCTGGTAAGCTGGTCAGGGGACATGTACGTGCCCTCTCAGGCACAGGAGAGGGAAGGATTTTGCCATTGTATCTGCCATATGACAGTGGGACCCAGGATGGTCACAGTGCATAGTCTGAGAGATTTGCAGCCACAGCTGAGGATTAGCACGAGGCTGGTGGTGTCAAGAAGGGACTGTGGCCCAAGGCAGTAGGTAGGCTTGGTTCGAATCTCAGCTTCACCCTGCTTGGCTGTGGTGCTGGGACTCAGCTCTGAGTGTCAGCTTCCAGCTGCAAAATGAAGAAAAATATCTTGAAGGATCCTTGGGAGGAGAGGGTGAAATACTGTGTCATAGCAATAGTCTCTTCCTTAGTACTTGCTCTGACCCAGGCACTAGGCGAAGGGCTTTCCAGGTTTATTTTATTTCACACTTAGTTCCACCTCCATCTTCAGAAGACAGAGACTGTGTGGCAGGTTGGGCAGGTGGAGGGAGGTGGCTCCATGTTTCAGAAAAGGCAGAGTGCAGTGCAGAGGGAGGAAACATCGGGGCAGCCTGAGAAAGGCAGCAGGACGACTTCCTGACTCACAGACCAGCCCAGCAGAGTTGTTGGAGCCTGCAAGAGCCCTGTACCCAATGTACAGAGAGGGAGACCGAGACCAGGAGAGGCTAAGTCTCATGCAAAGGCAAGACACAGCAGAAACTAGCCTGGGAGGAGTGCAGGGAGGAGTTGAAGGCCATTCTGGTCAGGGCAAATTAGGGCCCTGGGCTCCTGCTGACCCCAGAGTAAGGACCTGAGATCAAGATCCAGGGGCCCAACCTAGAAGGTGACCCGTCTCTGTAGCCCTTAGAGCCTGGCTCCCTCAACCCCTTAGATCCATCTACTGTGGAGCTGTTGTTGTTAGGGGCCATCGAGTCCTCTCCGACTCATAACGACCCTATGCACAGCAGAACAAAACACCACTCGGTCCCGCGCCAGCTCCATGATCCTTGCTGTACTTGGGCCCATCGCTGCTGCCACTGTGTCAGTCCATCTCGTTGAGGGCCCTCCCCTCTTTCATCAACCCTCCACCTTACCAAGCATGACATCCTTCTCCAGGGAATGGTCCCTTCTGACATCATGACCAAAGTAGGTGAGACAAAGTCTGGCCATTCTCACTTCCAAGGAGCATTCCAGCTATACTTCCTCCAAAACAGATTTGTTAGTTCTTTTAGCAGTCCATGGTACTTTCAGCATTCTTCACCAACACCACAACTCAAAAGCATCAATTCTTTTTCGGTCTTCCTTATTCATTGTCCAGTTCCCACATGCATATGAGGCGACTGAAAATACCATGGCTTTTGTCAGGTGCACCTTAGTCCTCAAGGAGACATCTTTGCTCTTCAGCACTTGCAAGAGGTCCTTTGCAGCCGATTTGCCTGGTGCTATATATTGTCTGATATCCTGACTGCTGCTTCCATTGGCATCAATTGTAGAACCAAACAATGTGAAGTCTTTGACAACTTCAATCTTTTCTCCATTTATCATGATGCTGCTTATAGGTCCAGTTGTGAGGATTTTTGTTTTCTTTATATTGAGATATAATCCATACTGCAGACTATATTCTTCAGTCTTCATCAGTAAGTGCTTCAAATCATCCTCACTTTCAGCAAGCAAAGTTGTGTTGTCAGTGTATTGCAGGTTGTTAATGATTCTTCCTCCAATCCTGATGCCACGTTCTTCATATAGTCCAGCTTCTTGGATTATTTGCTTAGCATATAGATTGAATAAGTATGGTGAAAGGATAGAACCCTGACTCACTCCCTTCTTGATTTTAAACCATGCATTGTTCGCTTGTCTGAACAACAGCCTCCTGGCCTATGTACAGGTTCCTTATGAGTACAATTAAGTGTTCTGATATTCCCATTCTTCTCAATGTTATCCACAATTTGTTATTATCCACACAATTGAATGCTTCAGCTAGTCAATAAAACACAAGTAAACATCTTTCTGGTATTCTTTGCTTTGAGCCAAGATTCATCTGACATCAACAGTGATATCCCTTGTTCCATGTCCTCCTATGAATCCAGCCTGCATTTCTGGAAGTTCTCTGTCAATATACTGCTTCAACCATTTTTGAGTTATCTTCAGTAAGATTTTACTTGCATATGATATTAATGATATTGTTCAATAATTTCCACATTCTCTGGGATCACCTTTCTTTGGAATGGGTACAAATTTGGATCTCTTCCAGTCAGTTGGCCAGGTAGCTGTCTTCCAAATCTTGTGGCATAGGCAAGTGAGTGCCTCCAGTGGGGCATCTGTTTATTGAAACATCTCAGTGG